TTGCCTGCACCCTGAACAATTGTGTGCGGGCGGGGCCCACACGGAGGCCGTCCATGAGGTAGTTTTAAGACTGCATATATCTATAGGTGTTCCTTAATGTCTTCCTACATACTAACTGCAAGTAACCTGTGAAGTATCCTAGATGTTTTCCTATTGGGTGGCTCTCAAGCCATATACCCATCTAGTAGCTGTGGTGTATGCCACACCACAACTCCCTTGGGAGAGTGACGGGTCACTCTCATGTATCTCCGTTACAACGACGAGTCGCTTGTATAATTTGGCAGTATTTGCTATTACTGTGCCCGACCTCATCCTTGGAAGGGATGAATCCTAACTATTAGACCAACGGTGCATACGAGATGCTGAAAATATTGCAGTTACTATTATAGTTACCATTGCCCATTTAATTTTTGTTCAGCAGCAATAGCACCGTAAAGCTTATTTTATTCATTTTGCGGCGTAGTCGATCAGTACACTGTAGGTAGAAAATATAAAAACTTAATGACATCCTGGATGTTCGAAATTGCCACACTCACTAACACAAATTATGTATCTCGTAAATGGTGTCGTCTGGCTACTACGCGTATACCTGGAGCTATTGCTGTCCATCCCACGTCTACTGTAAGTGCTCCTGGTACTATCAATATCGTCTGTCTATGTCTGTCTTGACTGTAATTACAACAAAACTGCTGTGTAGACTGGAGTTCAACTTAGCGTGGAACCCTTTCGTAATTTTTGCCAACCGAGCGTTACAACGTTTTCTGACATACATCACGAATGCAATGGTCGACAATGACGGTTTGCGCTGGCTGCAGCCTGGAGAGCGTAATGGAGAACGCGTCGCAATCGTGAGTTATCCGCGCTGCGGGAACTCGCTCATGCGTAGCTTACTCGAGAAGGTCACAGGCGTCTACACAGGCTGTGATACCCGTCCTGACCGCTTGCTCAGCAAGGAGCTACAAGAGTATGGAATGAAAGGTGAAGGGGTCGTGGACGAGTCGGTATGGTTTGTCAAGACACACTTTCCTGAACGTGTGGGCTACAAGAGCTTTCCCGCCAAAAAAGCAATTTTGGTTGTGCGTAATCCCTGGGACACCATTGATTCATACTTTAATATGACCCTTACCAATACGCACAACAAAAGCATACACGAATCACAGTACAAGCGTTTTGCAGACAGGTGGGATAAAATGTTACGTAATGAGATCGATGTTTGGATGAAGTTTTATCGCTATTGGACAACAAAAGTAGATATTCCGATTATTGTTGTTCGCTACGAAGACTTGATTCTGCATCGTAAGGAAACGCTTCATCGTGTGTTTCTTTTTTTGACAGGCCGTAAGAATCTAGAAGGCACGGAGTGGGAAAAGCGGATATATGATGTGATAGCCACTGGTGACGAGACTGGGCCGTACAAACCTCGAAGTGGGAAGATTGGCGGGTCTTTTCGGCACTACTCAAAAGAGCAGTTTGAGCACATACTGAGGATAGCAAATTTGCCACTGCGTGGGTTCGGCTATGACCCTGAGACACAAAACTTCCCAACGGAAATATCACTCCCAAAGCGGCAGGTCAAGCCAGGCAAGGAAGGGGCTGAGCTACTAATATCTATTGATCAAGCGATGGAGATTCGCAAGTCAAATGATACGTTTGGTCGTGGCTCGACTTATTTCCGACGAGCGCTTACGGACCCAATCATCGCCAATGACGGCACCGAGCTCAATATGGACGAGGTGATTGCCGCCAGGGAGCGGTTGCATAAAAATAAAGGATAAATACATGAAACAATCAATTCTGGATACCATCGGCATGGTAAACAACTGCGACTACGCTTCACTGACAATTTTTAACAAGATATAGTACCTTCGAAATGATTATCTGAGAAGATATTTCAAGATGAACTTAAGAGAAATGTCAGGGTGACGTAGACGCAGTAGTTTACTAACGCACTCGTTGGAGTCATGTGTAATTTCACTGTATGTTACTTGCGACTCTGCACTCCCCAAAAGCCATGTATTAGTGTAATAGATAAAGATTTAACAGATGGAAATGAGAGGTTGAAAGCTCAGTGTGTGATTCTTCAAATTTACAGTTTACATGTGAGCGAGAAATCGATCTTAGTAATGGCATCTTCAGAAGATGAGTGCCAAATTTGTTAGATCATCATTAGTCTCCTCTCTTCATGAAGTAGTAATTGGTTTGAGTGCACCTTCGATGAGTTGGATTGTCGTTTGCAGCTTTTCCTTGAAACCTGAGTCATTACACTCAATTTTTTGCGAGGCATGGTCGACTATTGCATCAATGCCACTTGGTGTTCGCACGTGAATTTTGTTCGTTTCGAAATCCAGATCAACGTCGCCGTATTGATCCTTCAAAAAGCGAAACACAATCAACAAATTTAATGCATCCTGATCGGCTTCACCTAGCTTCTGTGCAGCCATTTCAAGATCACTGCTGGCACACTGTTCTTCAGCTGGTCCAGTGCTCTCATTGTCTTCAGTTTTTATTACAGCTGAAATATCATCTTCAGGCTTTAAAGATTTGTCGTCTTCATCGACACTCTCATCAAAATTGCTTGGTTGCCTCGTATGGTCGTGAGGACAAGCAGCTGTCGGTTGACCACTTAGCTTAAAACTGGCTGGACTTGCCTGCGCATGCATAGCCAGAGCAACCACCGAGTCTGCGATCATGTCAGCCGTTGGTGCAGAAGTCCATTCCACGATGAGTTTCTCGGTGGCACCCTTGGTGACCAAACATCGCGTTATTACCACTTGCTTACACACAACCAATCTATTTTCATTTTTAAGATGCACGACGTCTTCGTACATTTGACAAAGAAAGGTGATAAGCACATCAAAGGAATTGTACTCAAACGGCACGTGTTGCTTTTGTGTGATTTTTCCCGAAATAAGCTTCGTGTACGCCGAGAGATCTTCTTTAGCCATCAAATGTGTCTGAGAGTCCACTTCCACTAAGAGACCGGATATTACCGTTCCATTTTTTGGCTGATCGCTTGCTAAACCCCCGATAGCCTTTGCGATTTTCTCACCCTTAAATTCTAACACGATTTCTTGCATATTGGCTGGCGTCGAAATGGTCGGATGATAAACTTTCGGATCATTAAACTTTTTCATCAGTGCCGATTTCAACCTCATCATCTCGTTCTTTTCTCCGTGAACTAGCACAATATTGGGTGGTGTAAGTTTTTCTACAAACCCACTCGTGCCCACAAAGTCGGCGTGTGCCGAGAAAGAGATATATTCTACCGTGCAATTCATGGGAATTATTCGGCCATCTAAGGCTGCAATCTCTGTCGGCTCGGAAAGTATCTTTTTGGCTAGTGTACCTTCAACAACATAGCCAGGGATTAGACAGGCATTACGCTTGTCCGAGCACCAACGCTCGAACAGCTGTCGTGAAACACCACTCTGAAGCATGCCCGGACTAGCCATCACGACGGACGGACCGGAATCGTCAAAATCATCCATACTTTTCAGATTTGAGATATGCTCAAATTGAAACGGATTCGAAATAGCAATCTGCTTCCGAATCCGATCATTCATCATGTTGATGTACGTTTGGTACACACGCAGTGCTTTGGCAGCAAGCTTGGACGCAAAGTAAATGGGAATATCCTGTAAGTCTGGATGTGAGCGCCAATGCTCATCGAGAATCAATAGCAGTTCCTGAGTACGTCCCAGTGCAAAGACTGGAATCAAACAGCGCCCACCACGACGCACCACAGCCTCAACTTGTCCAGTAAATCGACCCTCGCGCTCCACAACGGACTGGTGTACTTGTACACCATAAGTAGACTCTACAATAAGCACATCGGGTGAACAAGCCGGAAGCTCAGCAGCCATGAGATGGCGATCATTCTCAAGAGAGTAGTCTCCTGTATAAAGCACCTTAACACCCCCAATCTCGATTAAATACATGCAGGCACCAAGCACATGTCCAGCATTGTAGGGCGTAAACTTTATGCCATTGTGCATCATTTCCTGATGAAAATCGATGATTTCGACCTTCGAGACGCAATTATTGAGATCCTTATCATCATAAATTTGGTCGTCTACTGAAATATTCGAAACGCGTAAAAAATCGCGTAGCATCATTTGCATCACAGCCTTCGTAGGATGCGTCATGAACACTCGACCTTTAAAATTTGTCTTTTCGGTAAAGTGTGGTAGAGCAGCCACATGGTCGATATGGAAATGCGTGATAAGGAGCAAGTCAATCTCCTCAGCCTCTACGCCATCAAAGAAGGGTAGACTGCCGTGACCAGAGTAACCTGGGTGCACACCACAATCCAGCATAATAGTCTTTCCTTTAAATTTGAGAACGATGCATGATCGACCGACTTCGTTTCCAGCGCCCAAAGGCGTGATGCGCATGATGTGGCGCTCATCCGCGGCCTCCTCGGCCAGTCTTCGCTTCGACATGGTTTTGTGATTTTTTTAAATCTGAAGAAATATGTTAAATGCGTACTGCAATCTACACTTATTTCTTTGTGATGACAACCTCATAAAAGAACAGTATCATGTAAATATCACATTTGCTCCGGTGATATATTACTTTTGAAAACCCTCGCGTGCGTTTCTATTGTGAAGCCACTACCAAAATGTCTCATTTGTAGTGTACACCTTCAAACTTAATATTCTTCATATTTTGCTGAAGGCTATTACGTTGAAGTGCGCAAACAAACCTTCTAGCACCGAAGAATTATGGAGACATCTGGACGCTATAAGCGCGCGATAGACAATGAGGAGTATCACGAGTCAAGTCGCGCGCCGCACAGAAATGAAAGTATTAGTCCACGGATATCGGGCGTGCAAAAGGCCTCAAGCTGCCATAAAGATACACCAGGCGCTGAATCTGATCGCGGTCGCGTCACAGGCGCAGTCAAATGTCGCCGCTTGGGTTCGGACTCGAGTGAATCTCCAACACCATTAACTATCAAGCTTACGGCATTTTCTGGTCATGTGTCACCTGCGCGACAGTTTGTGGGCGGATCAGGCGGCAAGGCGCCGACAGAAAGCGGGCCGCACGAATTAAATGTTTCCGGCGCGCAAGGCCAAGTCATACATTCTTTTGAAGTTACAAAAAATCAAGGCGGACCTGCAATGTCCACATCGACGGGTATACTAGGATGTTCTTTGAAGCAAAACAGCCCATCCGTTTGTTCAAGCAGACAAGATGGGGCCATTATTGCATCGGAAGGGGGGCCAGGAGTCTTACCAGTAGGTACTATCGAACAAAAAAATCGCGGTTCCCTCAGAGTTATCGAAACAACCGATCGAAGGCTGACGGTACTAAGGAAGGGAATTTTTCTTCCTTCAAATTTAGATTTTGATTGTCTTCTGTTCACCTTCCAGGTATCGCACTGTTTGGGGAGAAAGGGACTCGCCAACATCGACAGTCCTGTGCTTGAAGCATTACCCACCCCTTTCCGAGTACCTGCTGCTGCATCAACCACTGTAACGTTTTTAATTGTAATGGTAAACGTATGGCATATTAAAAACGTGCTTATATGTTGTTTTGCAGACACCCATATCAAAGCAAGCTATTGCAAAATACCCGTTTCCTATTGTTCAAAAAAGAAGTCTTGAGCTTCAAAATATCGAGCAGAATGCAGAGCCAGCTAAAGGGGCCCAAACACCACGCCAAGATGCAAAAAGAATGCGGAGTAGTTCATCCGATCCGCCAATGCCTTCTATCGAGGTTGATGATGCCTCTAGCGACGAAGAGCTGATTGGTATTCCAGAACCGGATATACCGGATCCAGACATTTCCTTTTCTCAAGAAAAGCTTGGAGATTTATCGGTCACTGAAAACAATTTAGAAGACACAGTTGTGCTAAGACTGTGCGATGGGCTTGCAAACAGCCTAACTCAAGCTGAGCGAAATCGGATGGAGCTGCTAAACTTGTACAATATTGTGCTGGCTCAGCTAACAAGTCCCATCGTATTAGGACGAGATCAGTTTCAGGACGTGTTTGGCGACAATATTCGTGGCGGGATGCTGTCTCATTTGAGTCGTCGGCACTGTTTAATTCACGTCGAAAATGTGCCGAGAGGTGATTTTTCGAAACCTGGAATTAAAGTGCGCGTAGAAGACACAAGCACAAACGGAATTCGAGTAAATGGACGTCAGATGCAAAATGGCCAAATATACGAATTGGAGTTAAACGACATTATCACACTGCTTCGGATACGGCGTGATGAGGTACAATGCTTATTGCAGGTTCATCAGTGGCATTACTCTATGCTCATAACATGATCTCTTCAAACAGGAAAACGTGTCTCTTGAATACAAATTGGTCCGATCTGATCCACAATTGCAGAATAGCAAGCGCAGGCGAAACGTGAGTAGACATGATGGACGATTTGTCAGACCCTGTGATAAGTTTTCGTGCGATTCGCTCGACTTAAGTAATCGTCACGGTCTATCTCCATCTCAGAAATCGAATGAGGTATCTCTCAATTTGGCGCCAGTGCAAGCTGTTGCACAAGAGATGCGCCATCAAATACCAATAAGACCGACTACTCCAGCAGGAGCTGGCTTTACTTCTAAGAAAAAAGAAGAAATGAGAAAGATGGGACCAAGTTTCCAAATTCCTATTCTGTCGCGGAAAATTCAATGCGTAAGTCGACGTGGAAGAAATTAGGCTATGAGTATAACTCGTTATGGCTTGTAGACAATCTTATTTGCCGATCCATACACACAAGATCATTCTGAGGCGAGTCAGCCAATCGAGGTATATTTGCTTCCCAATTACGTTATTGTTGTTTCGAGAAGATTATATTAATGTATAAAAATGCAGGAAGCCAATTTGGACTATCGTGAGGAATTATCCGAAATTTTGTCAGCTTTTACATCGATCCGAGCTTTTGATGTGAGATTTTTTTCAAATCGCAAAAAGCGCAAAACACTTAATACAATCTCAATTTGTGCAGGCTTCATCGTACCATTGCGCTACTTCTGATACAATCAGTGACGCTTTAAATGATGACAGTGATGTGATTATCTACACTGGCGGTGGAGACACGGACCATCTAGTAGTTGAAGGCCCAAACGGGTTTTCAACTCGTTTGGAAAAAAACGATATTTTACAAAGTTTTAGTGAAGGTAAGGAATACAATTGGAAATGTGCGATATGCAGCTTTGATGGCTTGCTAACTGTAAAATAGCAGATCTCATGACGCAAAAACTTATGATAGTTATTGCACCTACACTTGAACCAGGTAATGAAAAGTTAAGTTATAATGAATTTGGTAGATTACCGTAACGTCCGTTTGCGCTTTCAGCTAAATTGCTTGCAGAGTGTGGGGCTCTCCATGTTTGCTTCCTTAATTCCACCAGAAAACACTCGTTGCGAGTTTCTGCTTTTATACGGTTTGTCAATGTGAAGTCTCATGTATAACTTAAAGATGAACATAATGAAACATTTTATGATAGGGCTCTATTTTCTGGATTGCTGAAAGGATATGCCATAAAGAAATGCTACACTTTGGCTGAATTTGTAGCATTGAACGATTTATTGCCTATCGTTCGGCGGGCAGAGCAAATCTGTCAACTGTTACCAATCTCAAATCAACACAACATCGAGATTGGGTCTCAATTTGCAGAAGCAGTGGCGACCGACAGAGATGTGATTTCTTCGCTGAACGCGCCCTTTATTCCTGTTTTGACATCTCATTTTCTCGGACGAGATGTTCAAATTAGACAGGTAAAGCCACTTTTGATTTAATTTATAAAGCAGCATTAAGCTTTTGTGTTTATAGATAAAGAAAGCACTGGCACAGAAGGTTCGTGCTTGCAACCTTTATGGCCCTCCAGGTGTCGGAAAATCATCAATTGCTATTCATATCGCGAAATTGTCGTATCGCACGAGAGGGTATCGAAATGGGGTTCACTACGTGGCCGTGGACAAATTGGTCGAAAGTCTTGATTGCGGCAGTAAATCAAGTAAGCAGATCGACGATCCTCTGCGTAAACTTATTGATGACGTTGGAATTCTTTTGCGCACACTTCCAGAGTAAGTTTGACATCTATGGTAGGATAGCTCTAGTCGAGCTGAATGACGATAATTTTTTTCAGGACGGACCCTTCAAATTACCCAACCACACTTCTCGTTTTAGATGGTTGCGACATTGTGCTTCCTGCACTGGAAGTGTTTCTGATGAATGTTCTTCGCTCGTTTCCCAGCGTTCAGGTATTTATTAATATAGAAGTGCATCGTTATCTTTCATTAGTGATACCATAAATCCATTATCCAGATTCTGCTGACATCGACCGAAAAAGTTCAGCTCGACTCAGCTGAAAATGAGGTGCTGTCAATGGAAGCAATTCATATCGAAGAGCTCGGGAGACTGGATGGTGCGAAATTGTTTTTCAAATTAGCAAAGGATCATTTGACTTTGAGCCAGATTCGACAGCGTACGCTCAATTTTTTTTTTACATAACACTCGATGAAACAAAGTCAATAATGTCTGTCAAATTGGTTTTGAAGATATCCCCGACAGCAGTATCGAAGCGATTTCCAATGACAAGCGAATATTAGATGCCAAAGGCAACCCTTTTCGAATTTTCTGTCTTGTTTGCAATCTCAAAACGAAGACGGCAGATGTTAAGGATACGCATATATAAGCGCTTCGTTGTAAGCAATAGTACCACACATTCTTGGTAATGTAACAATCTGGATTTCAGTTTTGTTTACTAGCTGATTATCAATCGATGCTTTATAAGGAGTTAGCTACGTTTGAAATTTTTCGGGCTCAAAGTGCCGAAGTAGTATACCAAGGTGCACAAGAACTTTGCCGGTAGAGACTGTACGTAATCGACACCGGTCCGACCATGCTGCTCTGAAAATTACGTCGTCGCTTTTAAGTTCGGGGGTGTATCCAAGAATCTGTACATCCAGCTCTTCTTTATAAGTGCCAAGCGGTCGCCACAGGGGAACCCACAATTTGTGCTGACCGGCAGCAAATGGCACTGACACGAAACCGTACCCAGCCACATGCAACTCCATGCTTGAGTCTGCTCGCCACACTTGGAAAAGCAACTTAGGCCATCCTTGAAACGCCGATGTCGCAAAGTGCAAGTCAATCGGGTGAGACCACACAACTACATTTGAATCAGCTGACCATGGTGCTATTGACGGGTAGTCCAATTGCGTTTGGCCAAATTGGTCTCCAGCAATGTGGATCCACCTACCACCATACTCGATCCGCCACTTACAAGTTATGCCCCCATCAGTCCCAAATCCGTGGCCGCTGACAATTTCACCAATTAAATGCACTTCAGGCTGGTAAGCGGGGGGTACATCGAGTTGCGCAATTCTTTGTTGGTGTCGGTCCGTGCTAAATGGATCATCTGAAGCTGGGTAGTTTTTGTCGAACTCTGCTTTGTGTCGACGCAAGGGTGACAACACATTAAGTTGACTTTCTTGGTCACTATCACTACTGCCGGTGCCACCGGGTGTCAATAAGGCCTTATCACTTCTGCCTTTTTCAGATCGAACACGTGATGGAAAATGAGCATTATTAACATTGTTAACATTAGTGGACGAAGACGATTCCTGTTTTGGCTCCAATGTTTTCTCCTCGTAAAATGACTCAATGCGCTTGTTTTGGCTCCTCAATGCTTCGAGATTGTCTGACAATTTTAAATCGGGAATTTTCCACTGAAAGTCACGCATTGTCGGCTCGGCTTTGATATCACTATTTGATAGCGTGAGCGGTTCCTTTTCTATGTTTTTGTCGTAAGTTATGACCTCTTGAATTTGGTCGTCAAGCTTGCGTTTCAATCTGGCCTTCGAAAATTTCTTCTGTCTACAGCAGCAAAAAATTCGTCGGTTTACTAGGTGACCTACGAGCGTGGATTTTACTTTTTACTTTTTCGTTAAAATTGAAGAAGCCTTCTTTTTGTCTTCATTATCGGATTCTAAAAGTGCTTCTTGCTTTTGTTTGCTTGTAATCATCTTCTCAGGCGATGTGGACGGCGCTTTGAAAGCATTGTCAGCTACGTGTGCCTCGTTTCCAGTACCTTCAGCTGTCGCTTTTGTTATAGCAGCATTCTTTTTATTCTTTATTTTGGCTTCACTTCCCTTGGGCTTTGAATTTTCTTCTGATATCCTCGCTAAATTAGTAACATCTGGTGCATTAAAGCTGCCGCAATACGATTAGGCACGCGATATCTAAAAATGCTGACAAGATTTCTTACTAGGTTTTACCAGGCGTAGGTTGCTTCCTTGGCGACGCTAGTTTCTTCAGCATTGCGAAAAGACGCTGTTTTATCACGATCAAACTCTTAATAAACACCGTAATACTTTGGTCTAAAGGCGGTATATTTATGGAGACTCTACTACTCTTGAGTTATTACGCGCTTGCAATTAGTTTCTATTGGTGCGCATACGCAGCGCTTTCCTGCGCTTACGATGTTTGTGCTTGCTCATTTTCTTTCGCCGTTTCTTAAGCACACTGTCTGCAAGGTAGCCGTCCATTTGACGTAAGAGAAAGTCTACATCCTCGTTGATGGCTTCACGCAACGGAAGATTATCGTACAGAGAGCTGAGCATGCCAGACGTATCCCACAAATCCTCCGAGCAGATAAGAACACCTTCTTCATATTCATTGGGCTTTATCTGTAAGGGAAACGACCCTACTTTCCACATGTGTGACGGGTCTGCACGCGGGTACTTGAGCGAGAAGTCTTCCGGCATAGAGAAAGACGGCGTCTGAAAAAGGGTATCGGATGCGCGAGTCGACATGAAGGCACGGTGTGCTGCAGACTCCGACGGGCGCAGTGAGCGCTGGGATGCGTTTAAAGCATAGCGGGCAGCGGCACGTAGGCCCGACATGTCGATAGATGGGAGGCTGGTAGAAGAGGTTGTCACGATATGTTGATTGGCTTAAAATAGACGAACTGGCCATTCCCTATTATGATCCAATTATAGATCTCAACTTCAACGATAAGGTTGCGATGAACAGCGAGGAATTTCTGCACAAGTGTTTTGCGTGGTCAGATCGTGACAACAAAGGTAAAGATTTTGCAGTCCTAACATATCGACTAATCACCATTTTTTATCAAAAGGGTTCTTGTCTGCGCATGATCTTAAATGTGCCGTGGCAGCGGCTCTAGGAGTTCGACCGTCTAAAGTTAGGTCCAAATTTACAGATCATTTAGCTTGCCTACTGATACAACAGTGAAGCTGTTGCTAGCTCAGATTTTTCGGAGTCATGATACTTCTGACCAACAAGAGTTTCGCATTACATTAAACGATTTTGTATCGGTCATGAAGACCAGACTGGTCAGTACGGATTTACTAGAGGATGTTAGGCGAATTTTTAAGGCGCTCGACATAAGAGCTCAAGGGTTTATTTCGCTGCGCAGCTTTCAGCAGGTCAGCAGTCAAGTTTTGCTTTGCTCATTTTAATATCACAATAAATGTTTTTTTATCTGTGTCTCACATAAAGGCGTGCGAGATGGCCCTACCTCTTGGTAAGCATGAAACGTTACTATGCGCTTTCCATGAAGCAGATCGCGATGGTGATGGACGGGCACGTTGGTCTTTATGCCAGCAGTGGCGAGATGTGTACTAAACAAATATGCCATTATTTAGGTGACGTATCAAGACTTTGAGCGGATGTGTCTTCTCGCTGTGCAGATTACCGAAATGTCAAAACCCACTATTCTATAGATACTTGAGATACCAGTTTTCTTCATGTTTGCGCCTTCTCACGATAGAATTGAAGCAAGGCTACATAAAGTATCGATATAATAAAAATGGCAACTTTTGATGCGCAGCAAGAAGCTATTAAGTCTCGACTGTTTGCGGTCTTACGTCGACCTGAAAATGAACAATGCGCTGATTGTGGAGCTGCAACCCCTAAGTATGTAACTAGCATCTTTTTCGTAACTTCACTAAAATAATTAACTTTTATGCTGCGTAATGCTTACCAAGGTGGGCGACTGTAACTTTTGGAGGTTTTATCTGCACGCAATGTGCTGGTGTTCATCGGTCTCTGGGTGTTCACGTATCTTTTGTGCTCAGTGTCATGCTGGACAAGTGGACGGAAGAGCAAGTGAATGTTATGGAAAACAATGGTAACAACAAGCTCAATCAACAACTCGAACGGACTTTGGCTCTGCAGCTTCAGTTAAACGACAAGAGTTTGAAGAAACCCGAGGCACTGACGCCACGACCAGATCGCGAACAATTTATTCGAGCCAAGTACGAAGTTAAGATGTTTTCTGGTGGAGTTGCTTCGACACCTCACCAATCGCCATCTAAACGCAGTATAACCAATCAGGCAGTGCTTAGAACGCACGGAATGGTGGAGTATACTGGTGTTTTGGTAATCGATCTTAAAGAAGCAAAAACAGTTGCAGGTACTTACACTGGTGGGAAATCGGTTTCGTACGTGACTTTCCGTTCGGGTGAGCAAAGTATTAACAGCAAGCGCGTGGACAATAGTGTCAATCCACAATGGAACCAGCAATTGATGCTCTCATGGGACGGCATGTCGCCTTTAGAGGTCGAGCTGTACGACTATAATCGAGTAAATGCTGACCGTAAAATGGGCTCTTTTACAATCAGTGCAAAGCAGCTTTCGATATTACCCGAAGTAGGGGGCACACAAGGCCCATATGAAGATTGGTATATAGTCATCACGCCGAGGGACTGGGCTATAAATCTAAGTAAACATCTAGTTGCTGGAGCGGAAGGTGTCACTAAAGGCCTTTTCCAGGGCGTTACTGGTGTATTTAAGGACCCGATACAAGGAGCTCGAGAAAATGGACTCGAGGGCTTTGCGAAAGGCGTTGGCACGGGTGTCGCTGGCTTCGTTTACCGTCCGATTCAAGGGGTCGGCACGATGGTCAAACACTCGGCACTATCTGTCGGGGTGGGAAAGAAGCACCGCACAAACGGTGGAGGTAACGATGATAATGGCACTTCCGATAGTCAAGACGACGTGCCTACGGGCTCTGTGCGGCTTGCGTTGGCCATGCAGAAATTTAATTGATGTACAAACATGACCATCCGAGATACGTTGTGTAATGTATTTCTCCAGTTAGATCCTACTGCCACCGGTATCCGCGGAGTGGACTGCATCACATATCATGCGGTCGGTCTCGCCTTGTAGGAGTGCTTTTTATATTTATTCCTACATAAACGTTCTAAAATTGATTAGATCACTCTTAACTCGACGAATTTGATCGAGCAATGCCATAGCGTCCCCATTGCCATCTTTAAACAAAACAAACAGAAGTATAGCAAAGATATCAATAAATCAAAAAGCGAACAATGGGAACGACTGCATCGTACCTTGTGATGTGGCACGCAGATCCGTTATAAATCCGTCGCAGAGGTCGACAACATTAGGACAGCACGCTGCAAATTCTGCAAGTTGATCTTTTCCAGCACGTGAAGAAATGACGTGTTTTTTCCAAATTGTGATGATTGCCACCATTGACTGCAGCAAGTGCAGCGTCCACCCTTCGCGAAAAAGTCGCTCAGACTGTTCACGGTACAGCTGTTCATAACAGCTAAGTAATACATGATGCGGCACGCCTACATCCAGAAAAAGCTTGAGCACCCAATTGAACGTTGTGGCGTCAATAGCTGCGGCCGAAGCTACGCTGCCAGTGAATGCGCCTATGCCTGTCGATCGAATGTACCACAGCGAAATCCACTCGAGTACATCAGCCAGAAACCCGACTGGAAATACTAGCTCACCCATACCAGCAGCCGCGCCGCTGTGTCGGTCGTCGTCTTCCCAATATAGAGACTTTCCTAGCCGCAATAGTTTGCACTGCATGCGTCCAATCCAATTGCCACTCTCAAAAGAAGCATTTGCATTCGATCTACTCGACATTGCTGATAGACCAGCCTTTTCGCACTGATCTAAGCGCCATGCGTTGAATGCTGAATTGATTGAAGAAGGAGGCAGCAGGCTAAAGATGATTTTTCGCCACAGACTCGCAATAACGTCGCCTTCTTCTGATTTGCACACGTGAATAATTTGCAGACACTCGGTCCACATGCTGTACTTGGAAGCAAATTGATTATACAAGGTTGACGCATCAAGCAGCTTGAACGTCAGTATCTCCAAGTCTAATTTGCGTGCCTCCAGATCGTCGTTGGGCACCGCGGACGACGTCTCTAGCTCCATTATCTGTTGTTCGAGTGTTTTTAACACACGAACCTGCAGCTGCAGCACATCCAGTACATCGCGTACCTCCTTAATTGCCTCGGATACTTCGCCTACATCTTCCAAACTCTTCAGACAACCCAGTGACTTAGATACATAATACTGCCGCTTGACAATGTCCAAATTCTTTCCAACTATCAAATTTGATGTAGCTGTGAATTCATTTTCACCTACAGTATCCTCGTGAGCACGAGCCCACCAGATTTTTGCAGCCAAAAGATATCTGTGTTGGTCCATGTGAAGCTTGATAAGGAGATCTTGGTCCTTGTGTTTTAAAAATTCTTCGATGTACGGGGAGCGGATTGACGTCAACAGGTGCGAGTGGCCACGTTCATAAAGCCATGTGTACAATAAATTATGAAAGCTCTCGTCATCAGAAGTCAGCGCAAATTGAAATAATTCTTCAACGTACTTTGTTCTCAATTCATCCTCCAGCGTCACCATTTCCTCGACAGCCTGTGGACTTG